CCGGGGGGGCACTGAGCCCCCTGCTCGGTTCCCCATCTCGGGACCCGGCGGGAGGGCCCAGCAGGAGCCGGGGCTGGAAGCACAGGGGACCAAAAGAAAAGGGTGGGTTTTAAGACTGCCTGGCACAGGAGTGAAAGCGACACAAATAGGATTTACGCACCGATAAAACCAGGGTGGAGGGCCGGGAGACGCGGCTGTGCCTCCCTCCCTTCTGCAGGTTTCGTTTCTCTTGCAGAGCACGAGAAGGACCAAACGCCACGTTGAAGGCACAAGTCCCTCCCTGGCTTTTCCCGAGCACTGTCGTGTCCAGCAGCCCTGTATTATGTCAAAAATCTGGCATGGCAGGCAGTGGCACATCTGCTAGGTGTGGATGACATTCATTAGCCAAGGTTCTCTGCTAAACGGCCTGCCAGAGTCTCAGCAGCACTGCCCAATGCCAATCACTCGTCTGCTGCCAGCTCAAAGGCAATCCTGCTTCAGGGATGGCTCCTTTCCATGCTGGCAGGAGAAACAGAGGAAACAATGCATTTAGATGTTTGGGATGTGAGCAAGGTTGCACATGGGAGCAGCAAGCAGATGTAGCAGGAGAGGAGATGAAGTTGTGAAGTGTCATTCAATAATTGCAGCACAAGGGATATGTGCTGGTGAGCTGAGGTTTGGGAGGGGAAAGTGTTAACCCCTTTCCAAACCACAAGGCAGACAGCGGTGGGCGCATTTTGGAAAGGAAGCATAATGAGGCTAATGCAGCAAATGGCCTGCTTGTGCTCACGGACAACACACACAGCAACGCAGGGAGATCGGTGCCAGGCCAGCCAGGAAAACCGCTCGGGCCAGGGGAGGGAGCTGCACTGACCTGCTCGGGGCCAGCCTGGCTCAGATGTGCTGCCCCTCTGGGGGTCTACCTGCTGCAGCCCAGACAGCCGCCCTGCTCGTGACAGAGCGGTCTCAGTGCTGGCCCTGACAGCTTGGTTCACAGCCCAAAGGGGCAGCTGCACACCCAGGACAGGCTGGGCACTCCCCGCCCTGCCCTGCAAGAGATGTGGGGACCAGAGGTGGAAGGAAGGAGCATCTGCTGGGCACTGCTACAAACGTCACTCTCTGGGAAGAGAGGCTCCATTTTCCTCTGCTCAGAAGCTCTGGGAAGGTACTTGTTCCTACAAAGGAATTAAAACACCTCAATCAGAGATAGATGTAAAGATGTCAATCTTCCCTGTTTATTAATTTAGCAAATTTACAACCACATAATGAAGCTTGATTTTGAGCCACTATGTGCTTTCCAGGGAGCCTGGGAGGCAACCTCAAATAGATGCTCAGTGAAAGCTCCCCTCAGCCCTGTTTTCCCATTCTGACTTCTATTTCTGTCCATATCCACTCAGGTAGTGGTTCATCAAGTGTGTGAGATGCTACCTACCTACACACACAGCTTTCGCCTCACAGATAATTCCTGTGACAGCCTCAGTTTCTTACGTGTTCCAATAGTTCTGCTTGCACCATGAAAGGCCACTGGCAGCTTGCAGCGCCCTTCATGCTGCTCTCAGCCAGGCAGGGAATCACGGGCTTCCCCTCCCCAGCACCAGCCTCTCTGCCATTACCTGTGCTATTAAATGCCCACACACACCAAGAGCCCTCCCAGGTCAGCACAAGTGTTCCATGGTGGAGCCCATCTCCGACACCACACGTGCTCTTCCCACAGGCAGCGGCTTGCCCGGCATCCTGTGCCTGGCCATCTGTGGCACAGCTCAGCTGTGAGCCCTTTCCTTCTGCTCTCGCCTCCCCAGGAAGTCGTTCTGCTCCGGCTGCATTCTGGACTCAGCCTCATCCACCTTCTGTTTCTGTGCTGGGTTTGTCTCTGTTCTGGTTAGCTGGTCAGCCTCAACCAAGGAATGTCTGCACATTGTAAGAGATTTCCCCAATTTCCTACTTTTGGTGGTTCAATACTCGCTGCAGCACATACACCCCAACACCCTTCTGGCAGAGGCAGTGTGAACCCCATAACTCCCCAACCTCAGACACTAGAACTGCGTGGCTGCATGAGCAGGAGCCACATCAAGAGACAGAGACACGATGCTTCTACCTCCTGTTCAAACATTATACCTTCGTTTAAATACTCCAGTAATCCCACTGGATCTACTCCGGTGCTTAAAGCTAAGCCTATTAAGTGTTCACGGGGCGGTCTGCACACAGAGGAACCAGGAGAAAAGGGAAAGGGGAGAGTGAGGCGCTGCTCTGGCAGGGAGCCATGGTGCCAAGAAACACCTCCTTGCTCTCCTTTTCCTCAGGCTTACCTTCTCCTCTGGCTACTCCCCACAGCCCCAGCACTAGGCTCCCCTCAGCATTCGGCTGATGTGAGTGCGAGATGAAGCCGACTGGGGGGGAAAAATTGCTTAAAAAACTTGTCAAAACAAAAGCCTGGATTCATTTTTTAATGCCAGCTTGGGCTCTGCGGTCACAGTGTTGGAAGCTATATTTTGTTTTGTTTTCAAGACGCTTCTCGCCAATCTCATTGTGCTCATCATCATTTTCAGACAATGATATGGGAGAGAGAGCAGTTATCCCCTCTCCTAACAAGGAGGGCTCTAGGAAAGCACTCATGCACAGGGTTTCCTTTGCTCTCCGAGGATCTCAAGCATGTACTTAGATTTAAGCCTGAGTGCTACTTTTTGTTAACAGGGAGCACCTCTCAGAAACAGGACTTGATTCAAAACCCGCACATCCATAGAGCTCTGGCTCTTGACTCTGCTTCAAGCACTGCAAAACCTCCTGCCTTGGCCGCACAAAGCCCCGTCCCACCCTTTGATGCATTTCTTGGCACGTGCACATTCTAATTCCCGACACCCCCCTTTCTTCTCCTTTTCTTAGCCGGCTTTTCTCTGGGCACAATGCATTATGTTTTCCTGTATGTACTACTCCATACTGCTTGCACAATGTTTTGCATGATCTAATATTCTTTGTTCAAAACTGCAAGAAAATCTAAATAAAGACTATAGCGTGTCGCATCAGTATAGGCATCAGCTAACGTTTTCCACGGCATATGGTACTTCAGAAGCCATATGTACCACTGTTTAGTGATTCTGGCAAAGAGGCGCAGAATGGTGAAATCCAACTGCCAGGATTTCTGAAAACAAATATGTAAATGCTCCAGTGCTTTTGTTATTCATAACATACCTCTAACACAGCACATACAATATGCTGTTCATTCTGTAACGAGTATACTACTAAACTATATTTGCTTCCGTTCTCGTTTTAAAAGATTTTTTCCTTCTGTATACGATTCCCCCATCCTCTCTATCAAAATCCATCTAAGCTGCAATTCAGAAAAGGCGTTTTATCTATTTTGAAGCACACACTATGGGGAAGATTGTGTACCTACGCAAGGGTCTCGCATCAGAACAAAGACAGACGTTATCTCTGCAGCCTGACTAGTGGAATGAAAGCAAGGCAGGGAAGTGCACTTAAGCAGATCAGCTGCATGGAGCAAAGCTTGTTCAGCCAGGAATAACCTCCCAGGGAACACGGGTGGGTTGGCCCTGCTCAGGGGCTACTGCAAAGCAAGCGGGCGGACAAAGCTTTTGTGAAAAGGCCCTCAGAAACAATAGCTGGGGTGGAAAGAGAGAATTCCAGACACGTGGTCCAAGGTGGATGGTGGCTGCCAAACTCTGACCTGGGCTGGGATCGGTCCTGGTGAGCCAGGGCTCAGACAAAGGGGATGGTCCATGGTAGCAGCTGCTCCCAGAACAGCTGGCAGCACCAATGCCAAGGTGGCGGGGCAGTGCACAGGGCTCACATGAAGCACTTGTGCAACACTAAAGGCTTCAGACCCCATCAGCCAAGGCAGAAGCCCTCCCTCCTGCCTTGGCTGTGCACCAGCAGGTACACAGCAATCAACACCTAGTTCCATGACCTACCTCTGACAGTGCTACTCCTGGTGCTCCTCTCATCTGCAGAAAAAGCTTGTCATCTCTGCCTGGGATCTTGCTGTGCTGAAGGATTCCAAAATGTTGCTGTTTAGCATTAAGCCTCCCCATTCACAAACAACATTTTAACATTACCTGTTGCCACCATTGCCTCTGTCTTTTGGCTTGTCAGTGTCCACAGAGGCTGAAATTGTGGGAGTGAGCAAGCCCATTCACAGGTCACTCTGCAGTTCGCTCCTGCCTTGAAAGCATGGCTCCTGACATCCCCAGAGCTCCGGGCAACACCAGGGGACCAGGCAAACCTTGGGAGGAGGGGAGAGATACCAGTGCCTCCAAGAAACACGTGGCTTTTCCAGTCTATTGCTTACCTAATGTTAAAAACAACAACAAACCCAGGACTCCCTGCACACAGTCTCAGCGAAATACTGTCACCCTACAGGGTCCTGAAAAAATTCAGCCATCTCCAGACATGACAGTGTTATTCAAGACACACAGATGCTTTTTTCCCAAGAGACCGAGCAGTGCTGCTCCTTTCCTTGCCAGTCTTGCACTGCAGCACCCCATTTCAGCAAGCACAACCTCCCTCAACAGAGTCCCGTGCCCACCACCGCCTCTGCTTGACTTCCCCTGCACATCAGACCTGCTCATTACCTCCTGTCTGCTGCCAGCCCCCAAGGCATTATCCTGAGTTGCAAACCATCTGGGTGCCTAAGCAATTCCTTTTTGGTAGGTTTTTTCCCCCTTTGACATAAACTGGGATCCCACTTTCCTCCCCTCAAGTTACAGAGATACTCTGTTCTAAAGCTTAAGCCAGACCTCTGCCTGCAGCCAGGTCTTTCACTTCTAAACAGTTCTTTTCTATTCTATCACAGAAGAAATCCTTCAAATATCAAATCCTTCAAGCCTTTATGTTATCCTACTTTTGTAGGTCCTTCAGCCAGAATCTGTTTTTTCCCTATTCTGTTCTAGCCAGCAGGTGATAAAAAATTGCCATAAGAAATGTTGGCTTTGAGCATAAGTGCCTGGATTAGAAAAAGAGACAATTAGAAAGTGAAAAATGGCAAAAAGCTCTAAGAAGCCAAAAATAAAAGAACAAACAAACATGCAATCTGGCCATCAAAAAAGGCCACGTTTTTCCCTTACTGCAGTAAAAATCAACATTGTCAAAATTACAAAGTATTTTGAAAGACAGGCAGTCATGGGGAGAGGGAAAAACAGTCCCACAGGGTCCAAAAGGGGAGGCCTGGGAAAAGCCACCTGAAGGAGCTGACAAAGGAGGGGACAGAGAAAGGCAAGCACCTCACATCATGCTGCCAGGATGCTGCAGTGATCCTGCAGCTGCCGGGTGAGACAAACTACCCTGAGTGAAGGGAGCCAAAAAAAAGAGCCTGCTGATTGAGCTGGCTCACGTGCGGCCGCATTTATGGCAGCACAAAGGTCAGTCTGGTATTGCCTCTTGTGAATCCCTCTTGAACAGGCAGGCTGGGGATTTGATGAGCTCAGGAAGAAGATTTATCGACATGCCAGGGGTTGCTGGCTCTATCTCTTAACCTGCTGGCAGAGGTTGGGGCTTTTCATTAAGGGGGGCTATGCATGGAATATTTGCAGGCTGTGGCTAAGAGTAAATGTGATCTCAGCCCACACAATTTGCCACTGCCTAAGAGACACCAGATTATTTTCTCTCAGCACAGAAGTCAGCAGTCCCCTGGAACCCTCTGAGCAGCTGAGTTCACAGAGGGGATAGTAAGGGGAAAGCTGGAAGGGGTTTCATGGTATGTTGCTCATCATATCCATGAGCTCTGGATGAGCAGGTAAAACCCAACCATCCCTCCAAGCTGTACTCCTGTGCTCCAGAGGCATCCCCTTTCTGGAGCCAGGCAAGCACCCACTGCCACTGCCAGGACAGGCTCCTCTCCTGGCAGGGCCATTCACAGCTCCCTTCAGCAATCTCCCTATGCCACCACAAAATCTGGCCCCTTTTAAGGGAGAACAGTCTCCATGTGGGATATAACCCCCTGGACAGGCTTGCTCCCTTTCCTAAATCCCATCCTGATTGCACAAGCCACTATAGTTTCATGAGGAAAAAATAACCTGAGCAACTGGGTATTTGCAACAACACATCTTTCTGCCTCTCCTATTATTTGTTTTCATTGAGGCCCATGTCTCTGCACCCCAGTCCTTCCACCTGGATGGCATCACCTCTGACTGCCTGTACATGAGCTGCTGGGTTACCTTCCCCCGTTTTTCCTGGGGTGTTTCTGCAAACCCTGCTGAATCCATCAGACTTCATTTTACAAGATCCAGCACCATTTTGAAACTGCTTGCTTTCTGCAGCAACTAAAAAAAAAACAAAACAAAAACAACCCCAAAACCTGAACTAAGGGGTTTTACACTTGGTGTTCTTGCACAGGTCACCCTTGTTCCCACCTTTTTCTTTTCCTCTGACAGCCTGAATTCCCCATGGTGCTGGCTGAGGGGCAGTAAATTCACTGCCTCCTTCCCTTCCTGCAGCCTCTGGCAAAGCTCTCAGCTTCCCTCTTCATTCGGTTAAGAGATGCAAAGATTTCTCACTCGAGAGACACCATCCCAGGAAGCTTCCCAGCCCCTTGGGGACACACTCCCCCAGGTCCCTTCAAGCACCTGGGCTGCAGCAGGCACAGCTGGAAGAGCCAGGCAAGGACTGGAAGAGGGATTCCCAATGCGCACTCCTGCAGAATGAGTGAATAATTTCTCTCCTGCAGTTGGTGCCAGCACTTGCTCCTTGCCAGTTGGCAGAAGGTACTGCTTCCTTTTCTGAGGAATGCTTAACATCCACCTTTCCCCCCACCCCAAGGGGAAACCACAGGGGCTGGGAGAGTCTTTCCTGGCAGCCGGGCATCTGAAGGAGCTGCAGTCTTGGGGAAGGAGGAGGAATCCAGCAGGGAAGCCAGGTTTTACTTCACAAACTTCTTTTAGCTGAAGGGAAGCAGGGAGCACATTTCTCCCTCACCTGAGAGTTCCCATGGGAACACAGAAGGGCAGTGTAACAGCAAATTTTGGAACGGGCATGTCTGTGAACAACTTCTGATATAATATTTGAGTCCTCAGATGTTCAGCTGCTTGCACATACTGCACGAGCGCCTGATTTGCATGGGATTTGTATTTGTTGGTATTCACATTCGTAGGAAAACGCATACATTAGATTAATGTCATCACAGTTTATGGAGATCATCTGTGCCACAGCACCAGCCCAGGGCTCTGCCTGCATTCTGTGCCCCATGGCACATGGCAGCCCCTCCTGCCCTGCCAGGGCCACCGAGAGTCGGGACGGCTGTGCCACGCTGAGCTCCGTGGTGGTCCTGCTGGGTTCTCATCTTTTTAACACAAAAGTTTAAAGATCATTTGGAGAAACTGTCTAAAATTGCCTAGCCCACATTCCAAAGATACAATTAATCCAACTATTTTGACTTATTCTCTTATATTTCCTTGTATGAGCTTACAGCACACTCCACGCCCTCATTTTTAGTGCCTACTTAAGGACATTCGGCATTCTAGCAGACCAACTAGGTGGTCCCTTTCTGTCTTGCGGGAGCATCCCTCTCTCAGTGAAATGGGATGGTTGTAATTCCCTACCCGTTTGCCACGACACCTGGGTGCTCTCATCTGCTAGACAGCTGGAAGCTGTCACTAGAGATGCTGTTCTCACGGAAGCGTTGCTGGGCTCAGTCAGACACTCTTCGTAAAGCAGATGGAACACCTCAGAAGAACAGCACTGCAGCAACAAAAGCTCATTTTCTGCTAGGGGATTTATATTATTGGGCAATGCTTCCATCAGGTGACTTCACACCCCAGTGAGCCCACATGCCAGTGGAGCCCAGTGATGATTCTGTTAACCTACTTCCACTACTGAGGCCATGCAGTTCCACCTCCCAAGGCTGCCCTCCCTTTCCATCTCTGCCCTTCCAAACTGCACAGGAGCATTAGGATTGGGGGCTCAACCCCTGCTGTGGCCCTGCCACCCAGGATTTCCAACAGGCCAGGATTTCCGCTCCATCCCCATGGAGCCTCTCACCCTGGCAGCCACATCCGAGTCACTGCTCGTGCACAGGGTCTGCAGAGTCTGTCTCAACCCTGATGGTGCAACCCAGAGGAAGTGGGTGGCACAAAGGAAGAGTGCACATCTCCAGATCTGGTGATGATTTCATGCTCACCCCAGTAACAGGCCAAATAACACCTTTTTGTCACCCTTAAAAGCCTTTTTCTCTGCAGCACATGCCACAAGCCCACGCTCAAGCTACCTGCACAATTCAGCTGCTTCCACTGCTCCTTACCCAGGCACAGCTCTCCCACCTCAGAGCCAGCTCCCATCCCACAGCATCTGACACTCAGAGAGGCTGTGGTATGCATAGCTCACCCAAGAGAAGGGCATGCCCTGCTCCAGCATGGGTTGGCAGACACCATTTCAATTTATGGCTCTTGCAAGCAAAGTCTTGAAAAGGCCTTTCAATATTTGAGTGCTTCAGTCTTATTTTCCAAGCAATTTATACACTAAGAAATCTAGATGGAAACCTCCAAGTGATAATCGAATCCCTTAGATATCCCAGAAAATGTTGCCCCCATATGATCTAGTACCCTCATGACAAACAGCTCTCTATTTTTCTTTGTGATGGTTCCTTACTTCCCACCAACATCTGTCACTGTGATTATGATCTCTAATGAGCTTCTAAATTATATCACAGCATTCTGCCTTGATGAGTTACATTCAGTAACTTTCATTCTGCAAGACATGAAACACTGCCTACAAGATGCTGAATGAAAATTCCCTCAGCACAGAGGCTGAAAAACTGGTTTGGAGGGGGTTTTAGCCTGTTTTGCTTGGGTTTTATTTTGGTGTTTTCAGTGTTCTGTTTTGTGATTCTTGTTGTGCATCTTATTCAGGATGCCTAGGAACTTTACAAATGAGGCACAGAAAGTTGAGCCTTCTTGCACACCCCTAAAATCTCCACCTGAGGATGGGAACTGTCACCACAGGGCAGCAGAGATGGCACATTATTTCTGTAAGGCAGGACAGGGGAAGGACCCCAGCCAAGGCCCCCGAGAAAATTGCCATTATTTTTATGCTGGGTCCCAGTTCCATTAAAGGCTTATACTCCAGTAAAAGTGAAACTGGAAAAGGGAATATTAACCCCCAAGGTTTGCTGCTCTGGCTGCAAGGCACCAGTGCCTGTGGCCACTCAGCCTTGCTAACACGTGCCCACACTGGCTAGCAATCTCTAAGGGACTTGGATATCTCCTGCTGATTCCTCAGACAACATCAGCCTCCCTTAGCATTCCCACTCACACATGTTATACTAATGTGCACATCCAGGGACATACCTTGCACTAATGTCACCTGCCCATCTGGGAAAGTGTGTATGGTGAGCCTGAAGACAAGGACAAAGCAGGCTGATCTTTGTGTATGCAAAAAGCTCCCCTGAGGCAGCAAGGTGTTGACTCCCTCCCTGCTGGTGACTCAGCTGCACCTTTCCCTGCTGCTCATCCAAGATCCTGGCTCATAAGAGCTGAGCTCAGGAGGGTTTGATTTATGGGACAGGATTTATGGGGACTATCCCTTACTTCCTGCAGATAAGCACAGACAGCACTGATCAACAGTTGCCATGTTTCTAGCTCAGAGTAGCTGTGCTCTCTCTGTAACTCCTGCCTATGGCCAACCTTGCACTCAGTGCCTGCAAAGCAGCTCCAAAACAAATGGGACAAAACATGCTGAGTACAGCAAGCACATTGCTCACCTCTCCCAGCCAAATTGTGGACAACTGACCACCATTTCCCATGCTTCCAGCCTGAGCCAGCACCCAGGTAACAGGGAAAGTGCTGAGAACACAGGCTGAGATTGCAAATCCTGAGGGGGACAAGCATTGCTGGCACACTGAGTTCCCAAGTAAACTTGATTTCTAAGGGCATAATTCTCATTGCAGAGCACCAGCCTGGTTCCATAACATGGAACATCTGCTCACTTACTGCAGCTGACACCATCTCCCATTTCTTTTGGTCTCTGTGCACCGAAGTACCTTTCCAAGCTCACGGTGACTCTGGCTCATTCTCTGAAGTGCAGCTGCTTCCAACAGTTCTTGCTAGGGCAGGAGCACAAGACCCTGGAATAGCAAGCAAAACAAGTAAGTGCCCCTGAGTAGAGGAAGGGGAAGAGCACAGGGCTGGCAGGGAGCTACTGAGAAGCTTATGCACCATGGCTTGTCTGTGCCACAAGATGAGCTGCCCAGGTGAATGCACACCGAGTCATCACTGTCTCCGACTCAGGAAATGAGTTTTCCAAGGAAGTAAACCAGTCTTTGCATATATTCAGCAGGGACTGAAGGTCCTTCCTGCTCAAGATGTGTCACTACAGGTGTCTTGGGCTATGGTGCCATGGTACCATTGTACCATTCTGCTTCTTGGTTAGCTTTGCTGAGCAAAACATTTCCTTTAAAAGGCTTTTGTACAGGCACAAGAATTCAACAGGACCATGAAAATCCTGCCCCGGGAGGGATGACAGTTTGGTACCCCAGCTCTCTTTCTGTGGCTATTGCCAGGTAACTCTACCTGTTCCTCAAAAGCAGTGCCAAGCACACCATCTTCTGCACCCTGCTAAGCTGATCCATGAAAACATACGAGGTCCTTGCCAAGCTGCTTCACCAGCTTGTCCCTGGGGGGAGGGATACGACCCTTCCTGCTCTTGTAGCATTTGTTGCTCTGCCAATGGCACTGCAGAAAATGAAGCCTGCAATCCAGTCAGCACGGCTCCACCTCCGCCCATTTTAACTGCCCAGACACAGGAAGAAGAGAAAAGGATAAAACATTGTATGGCAGATAACAGGACATGAGTGCATATAAGGTAAACTTCTTACATGTGGAGAAACTGAGGAAAAGGTAATTCAGAGTCACACAGATGTAAACATCAGTCAGATAAGACACATCCCAGCCACATCACTCCTGTCTTAAGGCCGGCACAGTTACACTGGTGATCAGAAACACTTGTCATCCAGGCAGCCAGGGGAGCAGCTCACATGAACAGGGCAAGGCTGATGCATGCCAAGTCAGCGGTGTGATCTGGCTGGTGAATAACCAGGCAGGGCCGTGAGTCAGCCAGCAAACACCCCCACACTCACCCTTCCTGCCCTGCGGTGTGACAGCAGCAGAACCAGGAGCTGACTGCAATGGAAAACCCATCCTACCTCCTCTAAGTGGTGCTTCCCCAAGCACATCCTCTAGACGTGGAGTTTGGTGTACAAATCTTCACTAACCTGAGATTACACAGGGCAGAGGAACGGTGTTGCAGCCAAGCACAGGGGCTGTAAGCAAGAAGGAAAATCACCCAGTCAGGTTGGAAAGTACCTCGGACGGGTTTACCTCCTGCTCAAAGCAGGGCCAACCCCAGACCAGATCAATAATCTAGTCAGGCCTTAAAACCCCGAAGAGAGCTAACACCAAATTAGCTCAGTTCTTGAGAGCCTGGTGCTTAAAATGCCAGGGTTGTGGGTTCCATCCCCATGTGGGCCATAGGGAGTAACAGGTGCCACATGGCCACCAAGCCCCTGCTGTGCATCCCTGATGTCCTGGGAGCAGTCCCTCCTCTTCCTCTCACTGCCCTGCAAACCTCCACGGCGCCTCTGTGCCAAACACCCAAGCACCATCCTCTTCCAGCAGCAGCAGCAAGCCCGGGTGATGCCCAGGCTTGGGCACCCCAGAGATGGGAGCTGCTGGTAATCAGCACAACAATCAATAAACAATAATCAGAGTCCCACAATCAGGGAACAACAAACAGCTCCTGGAGGATGCAGCTGGGATCAGGAGCAGTGACCCCACCCATACAAAGCAGGATCTACATGAAAAGACAAATCTAATTCCACAAAGAGCTCCTGAGGAAAAGAAGGGACGAAAAAATAAAAATTCCAAACCCTAAGAAGCTACTTCAAAATGTCACACAAGAAAAAAGTTGAAAAACCTCCCACAATGCCATCCAAAAATCCTCTCCCAAACCCATAGAAGCCTCTGTTTAAATACATAAACTAAAAAAATATGCTCTGCTAGCAATCTTCAAAATTGGGGAACTCCTCAAATTATGAGTGGGACAGAAAATGGGGGAAAAAATTGAATAAAAGTCCCAAATAAACTGTCATAAACCATGGAAAGGAATGGTGAAAAGTTGAAAAAAGCATCAGCAGCAATGCCAGCAAGGGAATCTCCCTGGTGGAAAAACAAAGGAGAGTGTTTTTCCCCCTAGTTCCAAAATTCATCCCCCCACAAGTGAACAGCCTCTCATGTGCTGGTCTCTGCTGAGTGCCTGCACCTGTCTTGGAATGCTCCCCCCAACATACAGCAGGCATGATAACCTGCAAGAGGTAAGTCAAGCCAAGCAACTGACCCAGCTCCCAGTGAGTTGCCCGAATTTTGTTTGTTCCCAGTTGAATTTTGTTGGTTCAAAGCACGGGCCAGGTGTTTGGGCACACAGAGCACAGGGCTCTTCGTGACTGTCACTCGCCCCAGCCTTGCAGCCGGAAGAACCTGGCACAGACGACTTCATGAAACCAAATTAGGGGTCATACACAAGAAAGGACATTGCCACAGCTCTGGCGTAATTAGGGCCCATCATCATCAAGGACAGGAAATTGGCACATCTGCTTTCCGGGCTGCTGATCCAACGGTGGCTCAGGCATGATGTGATGTCCTGCTGCAGCCCCCTGGCCCTGCATAAATATTGCCCTGATTGCCCCCAAACAGTGGTACAAGCCGTTGTTTTATCTCTCAGGCTCCCAGTTGCTCTTTACTCTTTCTCTCCTGGGCCTGGGAGGACAGGACTGACACAATGCTCTCTCTCACTCTCCTCTGCAGCACTGAAGGGGCCAGGGTACAAACATCAGCCCCTTTTCCTCCAGTGTGACCCCAAACTGACCACAAGGGACGTTTCTGTTTGGATGCACCTTGGAAGGTTTGAACCTGCTTCCCTGGAGTCAGTGATAAAACTGCCACAAACCGGATGACTGCTGGATCACGACCTGGGCTTTTTAAAAAATGACTTTTCTCCACAATATTGAGAATTGGGTCATCCCTGCCCTGGGTTACACTGCTCTGCAGGCAGAGTTCCTGGCTGCTCCATTCTTCTGTCTCTGGCCGGGCCGTTGTTTCCCAAGAACACCAAAAAGGGTCACTGCAACTCTAGAGTTGTGCTCCCAGCCCCAGTGATCCCTGGGTGTTGCTCAGAGCCAGCAGCAACTCCCGGGCCAGAATGGGATTTCCATGTTTTCTGTCCTGCTTTTTTTTTGGCTCTTCCAGGCGGAGTGATTTATTTTTATGCTGTTGTGGTTTGCACCGGACAGCCCATCTTTGCCTCTTTGTTTTCATTCCTTCTGCTTGCCTGAGCACCGTGGAAACAAACAGCTCTGGAAAAGTGGAAACAAGCAGCTCTGTGCCTTGTCCAGGGCATCAGGCAGCAGAGAACCACAAGAAGCTCAAGGGAGCCTCCTCTGCTTCTGCTGAGACAGGAGTGAGCACCAGGGACCATCCTGGCTCCTCGGGGATGAGTCAGCCTGCACATAGCAGGGACACTGCTCCATATTCCTGCACCTAGACCTTCTCTCATCCAACATACTGCCAGTGTTTAGGTTTCCTGGCTGCTGGGATTGAAGGGTTTCTTTCTCCCCTGTATTTCTGTATTTTCGGTGGGCACTGCAAATGCTTCATGATGTTGGAAAGGAAGAGCTATACAGGAATTCCAAGCTTGCATAATTCCCAGATTTGTCTAGACAGATACTTTCCATCTGGATGATGCAGGCAGTACCACATGGACACGAGAGTTCCTGTGTTACTTAATGCTGTCCTTTTTATTTATTCATTTCTACACTGCTTTACAGGATGCACACAGACACAAGGCTACAGCTGTGAAGGGAACAAGGATTTGTAGCTAATCCTTCAGGAGGCAGCTCTCAAACAGCTCCTGCATCTTGTATAATTGCTGGAGCCCCTCTGGTTTCTCTTTCCTTTTACAAAGCATGAGACTTCCATGTGTGGTTCATATCCTGTGAGAGAAGAAGAAAAATATTTTCCTGTGAGCTGCCGTGGCTCAAGGATCGCCACCATCATCATCATCCCCTGTTCTTGGGTTTGCACAGCTCAGGGTGTCTGGAAGAGCTGGCTGTGGAGCTGTCCCATTCCATGTTGCCCCTGGATCATGTGGCAGAAGGGCAATCCCAGACCTAAGTCAGAAAGGGGATTTAATTAATCAGCATGGCAGCTGCACTCACAGACAAACCCAAGTTTCATTTTTCCAAATGTTGGCAATCACTGAGCATCCTGAACAAAGCAGGCTGGCTCACAGCTGTTGGGCAGAGGTGTCCTGGACCTGAGCTGGATTTAACAAGCAACGAAGCCCTCCTGACCCTCTGTAGTCTATGCAAAAGGCAGCCTGTGCGGCCACCAAACCACTGCTTGACTCCAGTCCCAAGGTCATCCCAGCACAGCGCTGAAGGGTTTCCCCTGCAGGCCCCACCCTGGTGCTGCAGCATTCCTGGGGACCCACAGGCAGGGCCAGGCTCACAGCCAGGTTACAGCAAGGGCAACTTGCTCATCCCCAGATACAAGTTCGCCTGGCACTGTTTGCCTGAGGTCTTCCCAACCAGCCTGGGCCAAAAAGAAGGTGGGAGTGGGTGGAAGTTAAAGGACAACATGTGGAGAAATCATCTGCAAGTGCTGGAGATGAAGAAGGGAACTGTATAACCCCAAAGGTGTTGTAAGCTGCTCTGTTTACTACTTTTCTCTGCAGTAAATCTTGGCAGTGAACTTGAGTTCATTTGCACATCGACCATCCACGTCAAAGCTTCTGCTTCTAGGGCTGGGTTAATTTGTAGCTGTATTTTTTTAAGAGTTCTGTTTTCCATCACTGAGGGCAGTTTCTCCCTGGACCCCTGGTTTCCCTGCTGTCCCAGCCTCCAGGCACAAGGAGCCAGTGTAAAGGAGGTCCTTGTGCAAGTGAACTGGATTCCAGAAGAGCAGGATGGGGAGTGAGAACAAGCTGTGCCTGCTCCAGATGGGGTCGGGGCAGAGGTCTGCAGCTGGCCTGGGTCCCTTGGTGCAGCCAAGAGCCAAGGTCCCCTCCTGCTGCTACAATATGTCTTGTTTTGGCATTGGCAAGCTGCTGATGCCCCATCTGGTTCCTGAGATATCATGAAGATATCAGCTCAGGAGGCTGCTTTCCTGAGGGCTTGTGTGCACACAGGGAGGAATGCCTGTCCTGATGGGCTGTGCAACACTGTGGCACTGGAAGAGGGTTGGGAGAGAGCCAGGCATCAGCAAACAAGTTCTGGGAACTGGGAAAGGAGGCTGCAGCCTTTGTGCGAATGAAGCCAAACAGCCATGAGCCATTGCCCTGTAAGTCCTACATGCCTATCTCCCTCTCATCCAGCCATTCCAGCAAAATAGCCATGATTTATCTGCTTCTTCAGCAGAAACCACAGGCTAAAAGAGGAATTCACACACTTGGAAACAAGTAAAGAGTGAACTGGCAGTGGAGGCTTGTTCCAAACACACGGGGTCACATGCGCTTGAAGCAAGATTCCCAACATCTGGATAACATGACACGTACTCCCAGGCAAGGCGAGTGCTCCTGGGGCTTGGGGTGGACTCATGCAGCTTGGAAAGCTGGAGTGCAGCTGGTTTTGGCAAGCTCACCAAGCTTCCTCTGTTGTCTCACAAGCCTCTGCTCGGCCTTTCTTTTGGCTGGGTCTCTGGCAAAGCCCAGGCTGCTCTGCCCTTAATCTCCCATGTTTTGTGTATCCACGGAGACTGTAAAACACTGCTTGCTTACCCTTTGGCCTTGCTAGCTCAAAGGCACTAAGAACTCCGTGAGCCAGATCTCTGGCTGACATTATCCACTGCTGGTCCACGGGCTTTGGTAAAGTTTCCAGCTTGCATCATAGGGAGGTTTGGCTTGGTGTTGGGATTGGCGTGGAGAAGGCACCGTGACACGGATGTGTCAGGTCAGAGTGCTGTGGCTACAGCAAGCCGTCCAGAGACAGCAGGAATGGGGCTGAAGTGAGATGAGAGGAAAACTCTCCAGCAGGATGACTCCGACTTCCCCATCTCCTCCTGCGGAGTGAAAAGCAAGATCCTTTTTGCAGTCTGATTCACGTCCGCAGCCTGTGGGAGACACATGATCACTGTTAGGACGGGGCTTTTTTTGTTTGTTTCAAAATCCCAACTCTGAGGTGTTGGTGCAATCCCCAACCCCCAGGACATTAAATTTATTTGGGGCTCACTCCCTGGCACACGTGCAACGCCGGCAGCACCGCGGACCGGAGCGACGCGGCTGACGGGACGCAAGGGGGACGCAGGGGCCGGGCGAGTGGGGGCGGCGCGAGCCCGCCCGCCCTGTCCCCCGCCCCAGCCGCCCGCCGCCGCCGCTGCTGTGGGGAGGGAGGGCCGGGCCGGGCCGGGCGAGCCGCGGTGGCGGCGGCGAGGGGCGGCCACTCCGGCGAGCGGCAGGACGGCAGCGCCCGCCTGCGCTCCCCGCAGCCTCCATGGCCGGGGCCGTGCCCTTGCTGCTGCTGCCGCTGCTGTTGCCGCCGCTGCCCGCCGGCGCCGCGCCGGCTGCGGGCGAGCCGTCGTGCCACGGAGCCTTCGATATGTACTTCGTCTTGGACAAGTAAGCGGCGAGGCGAGACGCGGGCGGGGATGGAGGAATCGCCGCCATCGGGGCGGCGGCGCCGCCGCTTTTGTTCGGGCGCTGCGTGGGGCTGAGGGGCCGCGCGCGCGGGGAGGGGGGGCGGCTGTGAGGGGCCGCGCGCGCGAGGGGGGGGGAGCCGTGAGGGAGAACGGCGGGAAGAGCATCGTGAGGGGCTCGGCGGGAACGGCGTTGTGAGGGAAGTTCGGGAATCCTGCCGGGACCTCTCTGAGGGGCTGTGCGGAGGGGCCCCTGGAAGTTCCCCCAGCGGAGGTGCGTTTGCAGCCGGAGGCGTTGGGGAAGCGAGCGGCGGCAGCATCTGCCCTGCCGCGGCGGCCGGGCTTTTGTGGGGAAGTTCGGCGGCCGTGGGCGCCCTCAGGGCAAGGGGGGAGCGGGGCCCGAGCGACGAACTTAGCAGTGAGATGTCTGGTACCGCGAATATGGTCAGTTTCTTCCGAAATGTCAGCCCGGATCAGGCCGCTGATGTGCTCTGGTTTTCCCTTGTAGGTCCGGGAGCGTGGCGACGAACTGGCGAGAGATATTTGATTTTGTAAATCAGCTGACAGAAAGATTTGTGAGGTGCGTGGTGCTGCTTGTGACAGCCGAGGTGGTGCTGGAGTAATTCTGGGCTGTGTTAAACACCCCCCTACCCCTGGTCCCCGTGTTTTTGCAAGCTCAGGGGATGTGTTCCTCAAACACATTAAAAGTTTGGCTTCTAAGACCCAGAGTGCTCGAAAATATTGAAAACTTTTACTTTATTTTCTTGTGCTTGGAACTGAGCAAAAAGGTGACAATATGTGCCTTTAAATACTCACTTTCTTAAATGACTCTCAGATGTGATTTGAAGTTTTTGTTAAACTTGATTTTCAATATACCATGTGCCTAGTTTCTGATGGAGTACTGCTCAAATTCTGTGTTTGGAGATCTGTATAAAGAAACAATCTTGAACACATGTAAACATATGCGTTAATATATAGTGCAGGTCAAAAGGAAGGGAGCAATGTTAAAGCTCAAACGCAGAGGAAGCCCATGCCATGTAACAGCGCCTTTGTTGTACTTACGTATAATCAACTTTGTTACTGTCAGCAGTGTTGTCGGGCAAGCCCAGCTCCTCTTGAAATAGCTGCTGCAAATCCTGGCTGACTGCTCTGTACAAACAGCTGAGGATTGCAGTGCTTTGCTTTAAAAAACCTTACCACAAAACCCAGAATAAACTGAACGAATCCCTCACCACACACAAAGGGAGAGCTGGTGTGGTAGGTTTTGCTGAGGAAAACCCAGTGCAGAGTGCAGTTGTAATCTTGGCTTGCTAAGAAAAGGATGATCCAGTTAAGCTTTTATAGGTAAATATAGCTTATTGTCATCTTGTCAAAAGCAAATCTTCTGTAAACTTCTATAAAAATTCTGTCCAGGTGGCGACAGAAACTTTTGAAAGTTGTTTTGTTGTTTTGTCTGGAATTACACCAAAAAAAAAAAAAGAAGAAAAAAAAAGAAAAAGAAGTACTTACATTCCCTTGATGTCAATAGTTTTAAGCTGCATCAGTGACATCAGTGGACTGAAAACATATGGTCATTCAGCTTTTCAAGTGTTAAGTCCTTACTAACTATAACCTGATTAATTAATGGTGATTCTCATGTACAGTAAATTACCAAGTTAGTGAATATATTCAAATTGTGATGAATAAAATGTAAAATCATGCAGGAGAGATGTTACAGCTTACCTTGGGAAAATTCCTGTCTTGAGCCTCCAGAGCATCTGGCAACTCCTAAGTGCTTTCCACTGCTAATTAGATATGATTCCCTGCAACCTTGTGCAGAGACAGGTGACCTTCTTAAAAATAAATGGAAGAAAAAAGAGATTGAATTCCTTAATAAAAGCAGTTTGTACAGCATTGCTTTTTACCATGACATTTCCCTGAATGCTTTTAGGGAAGAAGTTTTCAAGTCTCACAGCTCTCTGGTCGTAGGAACAAGCCCAGTCTCACTCTGGAAGGCCCTGCATTCTTTCTCAGGGCTAAGGCAGTCAGTGGGCACCGGGAGGATTTGATAAACATAAAAAGCGGAGTTGGAAATTGGCATTGTGTCATCCTGAAAAAAAGGGGTAAATTGGCAGGGTCAGTTTCAAAGATGGGACATGTGTCTGGTCAGTACCCAGGGGAGCAGGAGGGAACTGAGTGGTGTCCCTGCCTTGGTGTTATACCAGTGGCCCTGGCAATTCCAAAGGGTGTGTGTGGGGTGGGCACATCAGCAGAGACTTGTCATGTGGGAGAGAGTAATGGACAAAAATGCTTCAGCTCCTCTCATTTTGGGTTTGTAGTTCAAAAGTGTATTCCTAGGAGGCTGGAGGGTAAAGTTCACATGGATGAGACCTGAACAAGTGAATGAAAGGCTGTGCATCTGTGTGTTTCTCTGAAATGTGTTTTTGCCTTCTTTCCCTTTCCCCAGCCCCAAGATGAGGCTCTCGTTTATCGTGTTTTCCACCCAGGCGCATGTCATTATGCCGCTAACTGGAGACAGGTCAGTGCTCTGCTTTCTCAATTCTCCCCCTCCTGCCTCTGCCCTTACTGAATCAGAGCAGCAGTCACAGGAACACAACAACGACCGATACCTCTAAGTGCTGGCCAGTCATGGAGCTACCCTGCAGAGCTGATTTAATTTTGTGGCCATATCCCTGGATAGCCTCATAAAAAAGGAAGGAGAGGAATGATGGGAAACAAATCCTTGATGTTACTTCTGCCACTGCTTTGCAGAAAAATTAGCACTAATGTTTTCATCTCTGTGTGACTCTGCATCTCACTTGGCACAGCGTGAGAATGATTCTTCCATTTGCTTTTGTAAAGCAGCCTCCATAGAATGGTTATCAGGATTTTTTCATGTCTAGGAGAAGCATAAAATGGTAAAAAAATGTTTCTCATATTCTCCCATAAGGTAGGTATTTTGTTTTGTATTTCCTAATCTCAACTTCAGGGCTTGTTTTAGACAGTGGGGTTGGTGCCACTTGAAGGGTGTGAGATCTTCCTGACACTGCAGTGATGTACACGTGTGCCTGAACTTTCAGGGGATGGAATTCAAGGCTGCTCACTCTGATTTCTAAAGCAAGTGAGGATTTACAGCTAGGATATCTTAAGGATGGGTGGGGGGAAATAGAAGGAGGAGAAACAGGCAGAGAAGAAAATATTGTAAAAATAATTACCGAACTCACAGAAACTGGGAGATGGTTGTGTGGAACGAGCGCTCTCAGCAGAGGACAGTGGCACTGCTGTCAGAGTCCTTTGGTGTCCTCTCAGCTTTCTCAAAACCAACATGACCTCTGCTCTCTCCCTTTCGTCCAGAAGCTGCCGCCGTGCACACTCTTCTGGGTTTTGAACCTGTGGATAAGCCATTTAGGAGTCACTCCACAAACGTGTGGCAGGGTGGAAGTAAGGTGGTCCATCCTTTCTGCTCCTGTTAGTAGGGAGCTGTAGTTGGTGTGGTGTAGTTAGTTAGCTCTGCTGTGGGTTTGTTTTAAACAATACATAACAAGAGTATGAGACCTCCTGAAAAGACCTGCTGCTGGCAACAGGCAGAAATGTAGCTGATATCTGAGATGTCTAAAAACTCAGTTCTGAGCCCCTCTTGTTTTAGCATTTATAGAGTGGCCTGACATGAAAACAGCCACTTCCCCCCATCCGGACTGGGATATTGGATCTGCTCTCTGTGGGCAGAGAGAAGCTTATAAGTCATTTTTCCAGATGGCTGGAGAGGGGTCAGGAGAGGACACTTGAGCCTGTTCTGAGGCCTGCTGAAGTCAATGAGGTCCTTTCTCTCCATTTCAGTGGGCTGTCAGTGGCCTGTTCCTTATCAGGCCTGAGAGGCAGCACTGATAGCACACAGACCACTTGAAATGCTGGGCAGGGTGCTGGAAGCCCGCCACCAGGACACAAGCGCCTTTTTCATTGCTGGCACGCTTGGAGCCAGGGACAGAATTGTGCTTTTCTTGTGCAAATCACAGGAGGAACCTCTGCAGATCCAGTGGGCTCCCTTGAGGGGCTTGGCCGAAGCTCTTGTGTGTGTCAGGGGAAACAAAGTGCCACCATTCTTGTTCAGGGGGAATGACAAGGAGAAGGGAGGAGGAGACTGGTGACTGTGACCATATGTACACAGGTGAGGACAGACAGATACAATTGAAGCAGCTATCCTTTTAGATATTAAAGAAGTCAGCAGAGGAAAAGTGCTGAGACTGTCTGGCCCCCATTGTTCCCAACAGAAGATGAGGATGCTAACTAAGCACACTACAGTTCTGGGGATCGGTGTTTGTGAGGGTTATTATGGGATATTATGGCCTTGGTTTGTTACGTGCACTTTGGACTTGCAGGCATGTTTTTGCCCTGGCTTTCTTGCTAATTCCCAAATGTCAGGAAACCACAATTTCTTCCCAGCAGTTAGATCAAAGTAGGACAGAAATTTTTGTTTGGAAAGCCTTAGGCTTCTGATTGTTTGCACAATATTCTTGCTGGGTTTACTGCACAATAAAGCTGTGGATACAAAGAAAGCCACAGCATAGCACCAAAGCCCCCAAGTTCCCTAATATTTTGTGAGTGTGGGCAGTGCTGTGACTAACTCTGTAAAGAGAACTCATTGTTAATCACAGTACACACAATGCTATAATAAATCCATAGAATAACAGCAGCACCCAGGTGGAACAGCCTTCTCACACTGGTTAAAGCCCATTCGAAACGCACACATTTGTGAAGTTGAGCTGGAAACTGTGCAGGAAGTGGTAAACAAAGATTGATGCACTCACCTTCAGGGCTGGCTGCCGGGAAGCACATGGTTTGGGACGGTGGATACCTTCAGGAATACCATACAGCTGGCATGATGTTGCCTTTGTTCTCTTTTGGCCAGCTGTCCTGGCCAGCAGCAGTCCAGGTTTCTGTGAGCCGGCTTTGGCAGCCCTGACCGGTGCCAGCAGCCAGGACGAGCCCTGCTGCCTCTGCCTGGGTGAAACTCCTGCTGGAGATAAACAGAGATGGTGTTAGTGAAGGGGAAAAAGTAGGACACTTGAATACCTGGTTACATGACCAGCTATCCCTTGTCCCTAGTCCAGCTGACTGCTCCTGGTTTCACAGGGACGTGTAAGACATGAACGCATTTGGGGCCTCGGTCACGTGAGCTGCCCCTGCGCGTGGGTCCAAGGCAGCTTGCCAGAGCAGACTCATCTGCAGAGAGTGTTCTGCTGTGTGTGTATCAAGTACAGCAGAGCTGGCCACTGATGTGGTTTTCATCTGGAGCCCACGCAGGAGGCCTCAGGTTTGAAGCAGACTGATTATTTTAAGTGAATCGGCCCTTTGTAATATTTAAGAGGCCTAGAAGGCATAAGCCTCTTCCAAATGATACATCTGAGGAGGCTCCATGCAGGGTTTTCTTGCACCACTACAACAGCTTGCCTCATCAGAGATGGAGCCATCCCTCTTTTTGTCAAAGAACACTTCCCCTCTCGGTTTCACTGACACGTGTGTGTGTTTTCCTGTTTACTGCACATCCTTCTTAGCAGCAAACCCCAAGTACCTGTTTTGTTTGCCCTCCTTTGTTAGGGATGAGCCCGTTGCCTTGCAGCACACAGCCTCATTTCTCACCAGAAATACATGCTCAGTAAGAGCCACCATCTCCTGCCAGCACTCATATGCTCATCACATTGAGATAATTCAAGATTCCAGCACTTCAATAGGTGGAATGCAACATGGAAGAGACATACAGAGTGCTGTCCTCCACTCAGAGGAGCTAAGAACACCCATTCTGGAATCAGCGTGGATATTAGCAGCTGTGGTGCCTGGCTGCTGCTGGAGGAACTGTCTGAGGCAGTTACACAGCTTAGAGAGAGAACAGACGGGGTAGCTATTAAAAATTAGTTGTGCCTGTGCTTAAACACAGTAATGGGCTGCAGCACATATGCTGAGTGGGTAAAAAGATATTAAATTTATACTTATTCAGCCCAAACACAGACAGGCTGCAAGTTGCTGGCTTTGTTTTGCCTCTTCCACCTCCGTTCCTTTTCTGACTTGCCCCACAAAGCCAGTGGCCCTTAGCCTTTGTTAGTGTTCCTGAGCTGTGGCGTGGGATGTCCAGGCACCCAGGCTGAGGGCTCTGCTGTCATGGTACAGATGAGTTATACAACCAGAACTTCCCTGGGGACTTCCGTGGCCACCAAGCAGCCTTACAGAAACTAGAGAAAGGGAAGTGGTGAGAGCACTGAGGAGCAGGAATGGGGGTCCTGGCTGCTGTGGCTGGTTGACTGCTGAGTCCCATTCATTATCAGCACAGTGCAGGCAGGCACGAGCCCCCGTGCCTGGCCTTCAAACCAGCCAGGGGTGGGGTTTAGATTGATGGAGCCTACCTCTTCTGTTGGTTCTGAGGCCCCAAATCCTGCATCCACACTGGCATTCTGACATACAGACCAGCACCCGCTTGCACTTGACCAGCTTGGAGAAAGCCGGGAGCTAGCTGACATCTGGCTGGGTCTGTCTAGTGCAGCTGTGCCCTGAGGGCAAGAGATGGTGCCTGATTAAACACAGCTAAAAGAGCTCATGCTGCCAAAGATTTTCCTGGAACCCCTTGTAGGCAGAGGCCTGGCAGCACCAGAGATTGCTGCGCGACCGGGTCACAAGACATTGCAGATAAATAAAACCGAACTGATTGTACGAAAGCTATTTTTGCAAAATGAAATCTGTTTCAGAAAACTGGGACTTGAGTTGCTGCTTGTTTCTTGGCAGCAGAGCACTAACGCCTGTGATGTGCTGCCACTCATTTCTGGCAAGCACCAACTCTGTGGTTTATAATCTGCGTTCGTACATAATCACTTGCAAGTTGTTTCTATAGATGCTGAATGTAAAATATTTGGATCAAACAGATTGTATTATCTTACATAACTTGTTCCCTTCCATACATTCAATGCCACATATCTCTTCTACTCCCTCCCCTCTGTGATCGTATCAGTGGATCCTGTGACGGGGAGCTTATTCCAGCTATGGATTGTACTTTGGAACAGAGCTGCTAAACATAGAGGAAGCCCATCCGTGGAACAAATGACGAGTGGGTGGCATTCAGGCAGTGTGGCATATGCATTCTTTCTCATTTGGTCTGGCCTAAGGAAAGCTTTCACGCATCCCGCAATGTATTTTCCCTCCATCTCCTCACCCCTGCTGGGTTCCTCTTTCTCACCTAGATTTGTCACAGTGTTCTATATATTCTGGCCCAAATTTTGCCCCTTCTTAGTTTTTGCTCATCCTTCCCTAGCATGACTTTTCATGGACTTGGCTGAAACTGTGTTTGCAGAAGAATGAAGACCCTCTGGATTTGATTCTTTCAGTAGTCTCTTTGCCTTTGTTCCTGCCAGTTGAGCTGATTTCACTGGAAATAATCCCTGTGGTGCAGTCTGTCAACTTCTCCCCTTTCAGCCCCATAGTTAGTGAGCATCTTGCAGGTGGATCTTGCAGATGCATTCTCCCGTTAAATCTAAGTGAGCTGTGAACCTGTGTGGGATGTCTTATGAAAGGCCAGATGAAAAGGTTGTAACCGTCAAAATTTAAATCTGTCCTCAATCTTGCTCTTTTCCCATGGGAACAAAAAGTATCTTGCAAATGCTGTGTTTGCCTATTGATATTTTCTTCAGGGCAAAGGCTTTAATTATTGAAGTTCAGTTCTATGTGATAAATTTGTACATATCAGTCTGGAAGATTTCTGCTGAAATAGAACCACTGTTTTAGGGGATTTCTTCTTTGACTGCAGTGTGATTAGAAGCAAAGTTGGTTTAAAGTAGCAAAATAGACCTAATGCAACAGAATTTCCATTGGGCTATGCTGAGGCTTTGCCACCTCTTTGCAATATCTGCTCTGCCTGGACATTTTCCCTGATTCCAGCTTTTTGACTCACTGAAGCATATTGTGTTAGATAGGTCTGAAATGCCTGTTCCCACAGCACCACTTCTGTCATGAACACAGTCTGCCTCCACGTGGGGTCCTAGCTAAAGGCTCTAATTTACAGCTTTTCATTTCAATTCTCCTTGAAGACAAATACCTTTTTTCAATTGATGAATTACACCCTTTTCACACTTCAGGTCGCACAAGCAGGCTCTTACCTTTTTTTCGTTCACAGAGAGAAAATCAAGAAAGGTCTAAAGGATCTGGAGGAGGTGACACCAGCAGGTGAGACATACATACATGAAGGACTAAAGCAGGTAGGTTTTACTCATCTTCTTGCAATCAACACATCCTCTGTTCTCACTCTTTGGGTAACAACCTGTAACATAAATAGATTTATGTTTTATCAGTCTGTTATGCTCAAATCTGTCTGGTTTCCTGAGTGGTCCCAGGGTTGCCCAGACACTCTGCAAACCCAATGCAGAGGATGACTGGCCATCACAGCAATCTGCCGTGTGGAATTTGCCTGACTCGCTCCTTCTCAGGGAGCAGGGGTCTGTGGGGTGGATCTCAGAGCTCAGCCAGCATCCCAGTGACACTGTAAACAGCCACGTGCAGCAGCAACCCAGAGACAAATGCTCCTCATTTTGGGCTGTCTTAATTAGAGTTCCCAGCCACTTATATTCTTCTTTGGTCAAATAATGCAGTTTTGATGAAAGCCCTGGCCCTGAAGGTGAGCATCTAAGCTTTGACTGTTACAGACAAGTCAGTTCCCCTGTGACTGTAGAACCATGTTTGTAACCAGGATGTGTGCAATGAAAAGCTGGGCAAAGGGAATTTTGTTGCTACATTAAAAAAAAAAATGTTTTAAGCCATTTTTTTAGTCTCTTGGAACCTACTGACTGTGTTTGAAGTCTGGGGGGTAGCAAAGGAAATTCTGGCAGTGGATTTGAAGAGATCTGTCCTGAAAGAAATGCGTGTTGGCAAGGGTTGATGGGTCAGTGACCCCAGTGCTTTGGAGATGGGCTCAATGGTGGCTGGAAAGGACCAGTGAGGGTTTCCCTGCTGTTAGTGAGTTCAAGGGAGGCAGAGGATTGTCATGAGAGAGATGTTGCATTAGATGCTTAGAAGATGCATCATGGTTAAAGGTTTGGATGTAATTTTAAGGTGGATAATTAATTTTGTTGTTTTCAGGCCAATGCGCAAATTGCGAAGCAAGGAGCCTCAAGGTTCTCTAGTATCATCATTGCGCTGACTGATGGCAAGCTGGATGGACAGATTCCCCTGTACGCAGAGAAGGAGGTGAGCATGAGCCAGAAATGTCATGCTCTGCAGAGTTTGGGTGCTGCCTTGTTGAATAAAAAAATGCTTATTGCTCTGTTCTATGATGCTACAGGCAAGGAAATCCAGAGAGCTGGGAGCGAGAGTTTACTGTGTCGGTGTCCTGGATTTTGAACAGGAACAGGTAAGAATAAGACCCTAACTATTACAGAGTCCTAGGCAGTACCTCAACCCAGAGTTTTACAGAGTTAATGTTAAGTAGTACAGAAATTTAATTTTACTTACATTAGGCAGCGTAATGTCTTCTCTGGCTCAGGAAGCACACTCGGATGTGTACGTAGACATAAATAGAATGTGTGGGTGTTGTGCTCACTGCCAAGGAGACCCGTTGGAAATACCCTTGTTAGCTGGGAGCTGCCAACGAGAGGGTGCAGGCAAGCCCCTCTCACTGGAATGGCAACCAGGTCAGGGTACTGATCACATGAACAAAGGAGCTGTAGACAAGATTCAAGCAGTGTATATGTAACAGTCTTGGGATAAGGAAAAGAAGGTGGGATTCATGTCCTTCACTGGGAAGCTGTTCCAGAGTTGCTGTGTCCCAGTGTACACTGTAGCTACTCCTGTTCGGTCAAAGTGGCTTCAAGGAGAGGTACACGAAAGGCTCCTTCCTGCAGAAGATGCAGAGAAAGGGTTTTTAGTGAAATAATAAGCAGAGCAAACAGGGGAGGTAGTTCTGGACAAAGGTACAAAATCACTGCCAAGATGCAGGCCCTGAAAAGCTTCTTCAGTGTGATGCTTGCCACAATGACTAGCCAGCATTTTGTTAGCTGCAGTCAGCTGTGCTAAGTCCTACAGTTCAGAAAACTCTTAGCTGTGAGAGAGCTCTAAAGTTTCCCTCTCTTCTCAGAATTGATGAGGGTTGCTTTTAGACATCCATTTAAATTTTAAGGGTGTAAAGCACTGTGAGGAATTTAGTTTGCCAGATGATTCATGTGTTTGCATGCATTTTCTCTCCAAAGCTGGAAAGAATTGCTGACGTGAAAGAGCAAGTCTTCCCTGTCACTGGAGGATTCCAAGCACTTAAGGGGATAATCAATTCTGTGAGTACCAGGCAATAAGTTTTACCTTTCCTCAAGATTAGAGCATACTCTCCAGTCCCACTCCCAGGCAGAACTGGTTCCTAAAGCAGCAATTGCAGTAGATGAAGTTCCTTCCTCATTACCTTAGAGAGGCAGTTCTGTAAATGAGCACTGCTTGCGCCTCCTGCAGTTATTCATGCTCACACCTCGTGTGGAATTTGAGGACTCTTCACAAGGAGAGGGGAGTTCATGTGCGAAGTTTGGGGGATGCTCTGATAAATGACTGCTTTGGGTTTAGTCTGGAAAAAATGGAGACTGTTACTCTGGGAGACTTGAGAACAAACAATCGCTTAAAATCTGGGGAATAAGTGCAATTTAGGAATTAACCTTTACTTACAGAGAAGCATTTTAAATCCATGAGTTTAACCCCTTGTTATCCCAATAAGTGGAAAGACTCAGTTCCAGTTTTCAGCATGGCATGAGAAACTCCTGTCGGTGAGATGAGGCCATTCAGCTGATTACCATGATTTGCAGGAAGGGATCAAAGAGAAACATTTTGGTTGTGATCAGTGGTTTGACACTGTTTCAACTGTGTGACACCTGTGGTTGTGAACACAAAATTTATTTGTCTCATTTTAGACTGAAGGCTGTATCTTTTATGCAGGGTTAACAGTGCTGCTGCTGCATGTAGGCAGCACAAACAGGCAGTGCAAACAGGCTTACTGGCAGAAGTCAAAAGCAATAATGAAATCCTTTTTCTGAGAGAGCCCACTGTCATTCATTTCCCTTCCCTTTCCTTTTTTTAAATAACAAGAGGAAGCTACTCACAGGATACTACACAGTCACGAATTTATCACTTCCTTTGAGCAGTGTGGTTTTTGTGAATGCTGTAATGCAGCAACTTATTTTCCTTGTTACTTAAATGTAGTTCCAGAATCTTCCTTGAACTTTCTTTAGAAAATTAATCCATCTTTGGATGCATTGACAGTTGTTCTCCTGAAAAGACAGGGCAGGCCATGTGGTATTCCCTTTAGTATTGAAAATCTCACACACATGGAAGGTTAACGTAAGCTGTATGGTGTCCCATTACCCAAGGTGGTTTTGGGCAGTCTCTGGCTAGCAGCAGTGCCAGCCTGCTGCATCCAAACCTCCCAGAACTTTAAAGCACCTTCACTTCTGTGTCAGCAGGGAGGGAGGCTTTTCTGATAAGATATGCCTGATGGTGTTTGCACAAGCCTCAGTCCAGCTGCTTCTGATACTTGGAAAAAGCCCGGCTGTAAAAATCCCAGATTTTGGCATATCTCAGCTGTAGAACAGGACCAAACATACAGAATGGCAGCACACTGTTTCAAGGTAACAGCAGTGACAGGAAAAGCAAACTGATGCACACTATTCAACCGCTTACATGCACGGTCTGCTTCTGCAGACTGAGCTCCTGAGTTGGCTCAGGCTTTATTTACAGCCCGGCCACCAGACATGTCAACACTCGGCTTTTCCCACAGAGCACGGATGGAAGCATCCATAGTAGGGTTTCTGGTTGGTTTGGATCTTGTGTGTGTGTGGGGGCTTTTTTTGTAGTGCATGTGTAGTGGCAGTATTAATAGGATATTTGGTATGTTGTATTTAATACTTTTCTTTGCAGGGGTGTGGAGTGATTGTGGCAATTCATTCTCATAACATTATAGCACTGATAAGTAGATCTAATTGAACATGAAATAGAGTTTTCCTTTTTAGTCACTGTTATAAATTCATTTCAGTTTTCAAGTTAGCTAGAGAATACAGACTCAGAGACACTGATCTAAAGGGGAAAGCTAATTGTGAACCAGATGAAAAGGAGATAGGTCACAAACATGCAGCAGTATTGCTCAAAGTACAGAGTCAAAGGTGCAGTTGTGAAACCCTCTGTGAATATTGCTGAACAATTTCTGTTCAGAAAAAACATTGTCTTCAGAAGTGGTAGCAACCCAGCAATTAAAACCCCTGAGCAAAACGACAGCCCAGAATTGCTGAGGAGGGGATGCAGGAGCCTCAACTACATTGATCTCTCCAAGTATGAGACTATTTGGCTGCTATCCTGTTACTTTTGCACTGAACCCCAGGAGAGCCGAGCACTTATTCTATGTTTTTTAGTGTTAAAAAAAAAAAAGTTATGAGTTCTAGCACAGACTGTCATACCTCCTTCTTATGCTTTCAGCATAGGCAACTACTCCAATTTATTTTCTCTGGACATTTACACAGTGTCTGTTTAGTCATGACCAGGGATTAACATTCAGGACAGTTGAAATGAACATTTAGACTAACCTCAGCTTAGGTGCCACAGAGCTTGTGTCATGTTTTGACATTAGTTCTGATAAAATCCTAGGGAAGTGAGAAGGGTTGACACACCTCCATGCCATTGTTTCTGCTGAATAATATCCACTACTACACTACTAACTACATCCAACTACAATACTAACATCCACTCCTAAAAGTCTGTGCAGACCTGTGAAGAGGGGGCTGCTTTGCAAAGTTCCCTGCTCTGCCAGCTTTGCTCATACCTAGCTTACAAGGTCATAACTAAACAGCATTGTCAGTGTGAATAAATGTGAGCAAAACTCTAGAGCTTAAAAGCAAAACGCTGAAGGCAAGTTACTGCTCTCTGAGGAGCAGTCACTGATGGGGTTTGGCTGATTGTTACACAGAGTGTAGCCTAGTCAACGAGCTAGGACAGGGTGAAGGCTTTGGGAGGGCACAGCTTCTGTCACCATGCAGCAGATCAGTACTAGATAAGGAAATGAAACCCTTAATTAAACTCAAGTTCTGCTGATTTGTGAGTGAAAGTTGTCTGGTTGTCTCTGCAGGCAGAATTGGACAAGGCTGGTACCTTGAAAAGTTACATTAAGGGAACTCACTTAAGTAACATTATCAGTGTATGACAGCTCTAAGTAGACAAACACATTTTTATACTGAAGTAAGTTGACAGCACTTAATACAGGAAGTTAAAATATATTTTGTTCTTAGGAAACACCACAAAAACTTACCAGATAAGACTACAGGAGCTGATACATGCAGAACTTTAGAGGAAGTAGGTCAAAATAGGGTCAGCCTAGAGTTGTTTTATCTACAGTGTTCCAAAATTTCTTAAAAATTCTACCTGGAAAGGATTAGAAATAGAATTGTTAATCTCTTCTTCTTCTTGTTCATTTTACAGGTGCTCAGAGGGTTTTTTTTTGTTAATTTTACGTGGGAAGCTCACTGTTAAACATAATGGACAAAAAAAAAAATAGATCAAGTCATGTGAACTGAGTAGTTGCATTGTCAATTGAAGCAAAATTCTCTCCAAGTTGGCTGAGCCTCTTGGGAAAAAGCCCTATGCCTCAGCATAAAGCTGTCAGTTTGTTCAGGAAACATTGCAAATTGGGATACTTGAGGATCTGCCTCCTGGTGAAGGGGTGACCAGGGGAAAGGACACCTCAGGGTTTGCAGGGTACAAGCTGAGCTCCCAGGCTGACATGGAGTGACTTAGACCCTCCCAAGGAGTGCATCCGGGACCAGTGAGGCCAAACAAAGGATTAAATGCACACAGGGTCCTTAAAGAAAACTAGATTCACCCAGTGTCAGACTCTGGCTAAAGGGGTATAAGCAGGGAGTGCTATAAAAAAGTGAATTGTTTGCCATAAACGTATAAATTCTCTGCAGTTAAACTCTGTGGGTGATGGAGAGAAGTCTGCTCCTGTTGCAAAGAGCAGTCAGCAAAATCCCTCTGGCATTCCAGTCCCTTTGGACACCAGTGAAGGGTATCTATGGAATATCCTGGGGGTGTCCATGTCAGCTGGATGGTTCCTGTGTCACTGGCTGTGCATGGCAGTGTTGGAGTTACACGGCTCGGTGACAGCCAGCACGGCGGGGCCCGCGGGGAGCTGCTGCACAAACCGTGCGTGGCAGCGGCGCGCTCAGCTCTGCCCAGGCAGGGACAAAACCAAAGGCTCGTGAGAGGGAGCGAGTTTTGTTGAGGTAGGCAAGAGGCATTCATGTGAGGAACAATTTTAGCCTTTATGTTGATAAAACTTACTGCACTGGCTTCCCAAAGATATGCTCCAGCCTCTCTCCATGAATCTGATGCCTTCTTTTCCAGCTGTGCTGTCAGCAGCACTTCCTCAGGCTGACCTGGCTTTGGCACTGGGGGAGGGTGAATTACCGAACTCCCAGGAGTCCAACAGCATCTCCCACTGGTACCTGCTGTAAGGCAACAGAATTTGTGTTTAGGGAGGGTGGGAAACTTCCCACTGCCTCAGTGGTGCTCCAGGATCAGACACTGGAGAACCCTGGTTCCATGTCTCTAACCTGGCTGCTTACCAAGCTCTGCTGCCCAAACCCAGGGTCCAGGCTGCTGCTTGGGTGCTGAGCAGCAATCAGGGACTACATGATGTTCAGGCAATCCCTGCTGCTGTGCAGCCCCTTGAGCTATGCTGCCTCCCTGCACTTCCTTGGGCAGTGTGCTCAGCCTGCTCCCTCCCTTTCCCCAAGTGCTGTCCCTCCACCGTGGATGAAGGGGGGTCAGCCAGCTGACTGGACGCTGTTAAGATTTTTCAAGGCCAAAATCAGCTTAAACGGTTCATTATCAATTATCCATCAACTTAATTGGATCATTTCCTGTAGGAAGAAAATATGCTTGGTTTATGCACTGGGAATCCAGGAAGCAAACTATTAGACCTTTAAGGAGGTGGGGGGAGGAGAAATGCAGCAAGTTATCATTAAAAGAATTATTCTGATTAAATCAGTCATCTTATTTAATCCCCTTGGACGGTCTAATCTTCAAGCTGCACTGGGTGCAAGGTTCAGAACTAACGCTGCGCTATGTTTTCCATGTGACTGAGACTGAGGAGATAGTTTTGGGAATTACTGCATGTAGTTGTTAAAAGGAATCAATGGCCTGGAATAGAATGCTTTCTGCTCTACCCTTCACTGCCGTGCAGCCCTCAGTTTGACATTCTCTGACATATTACAAACCATATAATGTTCTCCTGGAGCACAGTGAGCTTGATAAGCCAGCACCAGCACTGACACGACTCTGGTTAGAGTGAGCGTGCCTGTGCCCTGTGATTGGGATGGGACTTGTCAGGCAGCCCTGCACGCCTGGCAGCTCTCTTACATAAGGGATGCTGCACAACTGGCTCCAAAGGAAGCAGCCACAGGTCCAAGTGAAATCCAGCCACTCCTTAGTGAGAAATTTCTTTGAGCCAGATTTTTCTTACTAATAAGAAAAAAAAATAAATAGCCCAAACAACTTTTTTCCCTGTTATGGAAAGTAACAGTTTGTCTTGATTCCTAGTTACATTACTTGATAAGTAATGGTTTTAGGGTTGTTTTTAGCAATTTGGGGGTAAAGGTTCCGATGCTGTTAAAATACTCATCTCATGACCCGCAGTTTTGTCATCTCCATTTGCTTTCCTCGGTGGCTGCCAATGAGGTGCTGCTCAGCCTTGGTGTAATTAGAATATTCTCACTAACCTAACGCCGCGCCAGGCTTCTCTCGGGTGGTGATTTTATGCAAGACCATATGTCTCAGGGATTTTTTCACTTAGATAGGGGACAGGGTAGCAGCCTTCCCCTTCCCCTCACTCTTTGTCCACGGCACTGCCAAGCTGTGTCAGGGAGCGGGCTGGGCTTGGCAGCGAGGTGTAGTCACAGGCACAGATGTTTGGCAGCAGAGAGAGGAAGGAGCCATGCGATATTAACTGCTGCAGTTCCTGCTCTCACTTTGTGGGAGAGAAGCACCAAAATAGTGTTTCCTTGAAAAGCATGTGTTTCATTCCAAGTCACCCTGAATTGATTGCCTTCCCTCTAGTGTGGGGTGGTCCTGCTGCCTCGTGCCTTTCTGCACAGATCAGCACTGAGGAGATAAATGACAGAGCTTGCTTGAACACAGCAGAGGCATGTGATGTGAAACCAATGCTAGAAAGAGTGAAAGGCTGCACTTTGGAAACAGTTAGTTTCAGGGAGTTCAAACATTAATTGCTATATGGACAGTTGGTCTGTCCAGAGCCTAAAGTGGGCTGCGAAGGTGCTTCTCACTTAAAAAGTCTGATAAAGGTTTTTTTGAGTGTAATCACAGAAATCAAGAGCTCTACTTAAATTTATTTCCTCTTGTAACCTACTCTAGATCTTTTCTTTTTAAAAACCTAATTCTGCCACACTGCGGCAGGGGGAGGGGGGCACAAGTCCTGTTTCCATAAAAAAAGCAACAGCTCATGAATGAGAAATCTGTAACAATGCCAGCCTACATACGCCTTATATTCTTCATCACCCTCATTTCACACACTTTGACTTTACATGCCATAAGAGTCACTGAATTCAGTACAAAAAATCCTGCCCAATGCACAGTCAGCATTTCATTCTCTAGAACAAAACCAGTGAGTCCAGCAAACCAATTATACACCTCCTGCTTTACTTCTCTTTCCTTTTTACTGTCTTAGTAGTAGTGGAAAAAAAAAGGTTTGAATTAAAAAGAAAAAAAAGGAAGCAAGCTGCCAGTAATACTTCTAAGTGACTCATAGAAAAACAAACATACATGGAAACATGGGGTAAGCCCAGGTCCTGCTGCAGCCAATTGGAAGGAACGAAGCAGAATAGTTGTAGGAACTGAACCAAGCACCTGGTGAGCTCAATTGGACACAGTTAACCCAGCTGCCTTCACCATCCATTGCTCTGAGGAGCTCCACAGCCCCAAGCTGGGATGGGGCTCCAGAAGGCATTGACTCACCAGAGAATGGCCTCGCTCAGGAGCAGTGTTCCATAGGCTGGGACAGCCTTCCCCAGCTCTGATCTGGGCTTCTGGACCCCATCGGCACGCCCTGCTCCACCTGTGTAGGCAGGAGCCCTGCTGTTCCCTACTATGTAAATAGCTGCCTCCACACCCAGTGGCATTTCTGAGCAGCTAAACTGGGAGCCCAACGGTGCAGGCAGTTCCTCACCAAGAAAAGGCCCACAGCTGGCAGTCATTGAGGCTTGGCCTGCATGCACAGATCCAGCTGAGGCATGGAATGCTCAACACAGATTTAAACACTCTTTATGTTATCAGGGCCCTCTCAGACATCACCTTCCATTACTGCCCCCCACTTGCCATACCTTTATGACACTGACAATCCATGTGTTGCAGTGACAAGTACATGAGATACATGCTTACCACTGTGTCTTGAAATATGTATCCTGATGAGAGATGTAGCTCTTGATGAGGCTGGTTTTGTGGTTACCTGAGGGAGGAGCTTGGCAGAGTACAAGAGGAAAGTACATCCTCATGGCCTGTCATACCATCAACAGTGTTTAGTTTCTAGCTCTGTTTTCCTTGAGTTTACAATTTTGTTCACCAGCTGTTCTGCTTGTAGCATCCCTAGAGAAAATTACAGACCCCACGTTTGGGAGGGAGAGAGGAAAGAAAAGGAATCTCCACAGGAAAGAGCTGCAGGCAGTAGTAGCTGAGGCTGCTGTGCAAGGGTGCTTTCAGGGCTGTGCTGCCATCTCTGGCTGGCACTGTGTCCATGGACTGCACTCCAGGATGCCTTCATGTGCCCACCAGGGGATAAAGCTGCAGGGGTGTTAGCTGTGCACACACAAAGTGTGAAAGCCATCCTGTTGTGCTCTCGGGTTTTGCACAAGCCTTGCCATACAACAGTAGAACAAAGATGAGCTTGTAAAGGTCAACATTTTCTCTTCTTTAAAAACAGGTTCTGGAAATAGCAAGCAGGATGCATTTGCTCTGTTATGGGACATACACTTGGTTCAGAGACTCAGGCTGCCTTTCCCCAAAAATCGCAGCAGCCTGATTTGTGGTCAGCTTACGGTGAGCACTGATGTAAACAGAGATGCAAGTTTGAATGGATCCACAGGGAGGAAAGGCCACTGGTAACCCTAGAAATCCTTATTTATTCAGAGTTGTTAGCATGCCAGATCTGACCAGAATGTGTCAGCAGCTGACTCCTTCCAGCAGTTCCTGGTTATTCCGACCTCTGTCCCAGGAAGCAAATGCTTTACACAGCCATAGAGCACTTTCAAGACTTCGAACCATTACAGTGGTTCAGTGAAGAATCCAGCTGTGATGATGACTACCCAAACCCTGAATGCAGCTTACAGTTCTGGGCAGGAACAGATGCCATGCAAGTTATGATTTATGGTGCTGCCTGCTGCCAAAAACTTTTGAACTGCATACAGGGCTAAATGAAACTGAGCAAGGTTGCAAGACAAATTGACGCTTAGTGTATTTTGTTAATTGTCTCTGTATGGTTGGGCTGCTCATGGCTTGTTACTAGTGCATTGTTCTCACTATTCCATGGAACACAACCTTCATTAGTGTTCTGGAAGGGAAAGTTGTTTGTGTAACACTTTGCCGCCTGGTACAGCTCTGTTCCACAGCATGTGCTGAGGGAATAGCAGGCTAAATACTCAAAAAGCTGCAGGAGCCATCCTGCTTTGCTGTTAAACACTGAGAACTTGTAAGAGGCAGCAGTGAGGGTGAAAAGAGTCCAGGCAGAGCCACGCCTGGTCTGTGACAGGCTAAAGAGGTCTTGGAAGGTCCAGAAAGCACATTTTCCACAAGAAGAAATGTTGCATAAAGTAGGGGAAAGATCTCTGGCAAGGCAGAATTGATAAACGGAGGTGGAGTTTACAAAGACCGTGAGCAGTGGAGAGCTTGGTGTCAGCCTGTTAGTTGGCTGCCTTTGTGCAGTGTGCTGCAGGGACATCTGCCCTTTCAGTGCTGATGTCAGAATTTGGGTGTGGGGTGTTGCTGCAGCTGGGGGGCTGACAACACCCTGGTGTGCGGTCAGTGCAGACACCTGCAGGTCAGAAACAGGCAGAGTTTCTCCAACAGCTGTGGTGGGAGGAAATGTGTTAGTAATGACAGAAATAGCAGAAATACTGCTTCAGAAACGGTGCACTGAAGTTTCTGTGAGCCTTCAGGAACCTTCTAGTGAGAAGCACGTAGAAAGCCATGAGGACAGATGTGGATTTTAAGTATTCCTTAACAATCAGGAAAGTCTGGGAAAAATGCACTAGGTGAAAATAGGGTCACATGGAAAAGCTGGTAAAGCTTTTGATAATGGTAAGTGGACCTGATAAATGAACTTCCTACAACTGTTTTAGGAAGATTGACATGTATGCTTACTTGTAAGCCACTGAAATAGCCTGGAGACAGGTGGTTTAAAGCTCCACAGCCACAGTTGGGATGGCCATGGTGTTCCCAG